CCAGTAAAAGCCAATGCATAAAGGAATCCCATCAAGCATTTAAAAAAAACAGACGAGATGGTGCTAACAAGGAATGGAACAGTGGATTCAAGTCATAGGCAAAGCAACAGGCGATGACGAGACGCTATAAGAGCAGACGAATAGAAGGTAAGAGGTACGGTCCAGACTATGGAATCAAGACGGATTTAAAGGAAATTGGCAAAAGTGAAGGGATACACCAAAAAAGTCAAAAGCTCAAAAGGTTGGGACTTTGGATGACTGCCAAGAATGGATTTAACAAGTCAATGAACAGTTCAAATGCATCAGAGAATAAGCCATCTAAAGACATCAAAAAGATTAAAAGAATTACCCCATTTAGTATGAGGCTCCTCAGTAACGGGATAGGACTGATAAAAGCGAGAAAAAAATGACTGTAGCTAATTATGCAAGGCAAATGAATATGGGCATCGAACACGCAGCAAAGTTTCAATTTTGAAGGAGCAGTAATTCTAAGGATAGGGGTGAAGCTGTAGCAGGGATACAGACCACGATCAATCAGTCCGAACAGGACCACATTAATGACAGATGAAATTAAATTGAGGCTATTAGAACAAGAAATAGAAGAGAATTACCTTTGGCGATTTAGGAGTTTATAAGACTATGCCAATGGATGGAGAACGCGTAAAGTTGATAGCCATAATAATAAGGAAGAAACAATACATCAGCTCCGCATTTCGGAAACAAAGAATAAGAAGACAACAAGCCTAACAGGATTCCAAAGCAGTTCAATATATATCAACAATGGAATTGAGGTTTGTCAAATCTCTAAGTTGAAGACAATTGCTTATAAAAGAGAAGTATGTAAAGGCCATAGTTAATAGCGGTACACAAGGCGGTAGTAAAATAGTCCTGATCCTTTCACTTGGTATTGGAAAATTACAAAGATGATGTAACCACCGACTTCACACTAGATAACCGCATTCGTCAACTTAACTTAGGAAAGGCTAAGCAGAACCGTAGAAGAGTGCTCACCTCGAGAGAGTCGGTGTCATAGGAAAGGAGAAGCTCCGCCCGGTTGGCGATTTTGTCATAATTTTCACGCAGTAAGTTTACGATGTTTGTAGAACTGTCAGTGAGAGTACCCACGGCCGCTGAAGGCAAAAAGGCGGCCAGTTTCTCGTAGAGAGGAAAAACCTTCGCATCGATAGCGAAGATAACACTGATGTCTTTCTCCGTGAGCACCTCGGCAACCTAGAGAAGAAAACTATTGTAAAATACTCCATATTTGTTGGCGCTATTGGATACAAGCTAAATTTGCATCGCGCCTTATTTGACAAGGCTTCTCGTAATGGTTGATCAGCAATGAGTGGAATAATGTTTCCGACTTCAAAAGTACAATGTAGCAGAGCAAACGACCAGAGGAGGCGCGACTCCAGTCTGAGGCCATTCTAGTAGTCGATTTTAGTCTGAGAAGCAAACAACTCACTCGGGAAGGAAAGACAGCGTGTAATGAGTCGGTCATGACGCACAAATGCTTATTAAGGGATTGAAAATGAACCAAGGAGAATA